CCTTCCCTTTCTTTCCTTGACTTTTTCCTTACAATTAATTCAGTAACAATTTATATCTTAATTCACACCTACTTCTTCTCCTCTTTATTTCACAGGATGAAGTGGCTCACACTCTTACAGAAAGCAGAGTATTGAAAAACACCAGACACCCTTTTTTAACAGTAAGTATTAGGAACCATTTTGAAGTACATTAGCAGGTAATATTTAGCATCCATTATGAACATACTTTAGTAATTTTGAATTTTTTCTCATGATGATTTGTAAACAATCAGTAGCTATCTGGTGCTATTGATATGCTTTATCAGGATACCAAGAATTAATTAAGAATTCAGAAATAAAATTTCTAGTGAATTTGTAAAGCTTTACTGTACTGAAAATAAATTTAATTGTAGAAATGTGTAACTGTTGTGCAATTTTTTGCAGTTTTTGTATACAAACACTTTTAAAATAAAAGTTATTAATTTCACAGAAGTGCAAGTATTTTTTACTAAGAAAATTTAATTAAAATATCAGTAAAACAATAAAAATAGCTATTTTATTTGTTCAAAACAAGTAACTTATAGAGCCACAAAACTCTAACCCCACTACCTTTGTCTTCATATGGTTAATATTTAATAGAAGGGAAAGACAGAAAAGATGAAAATGTTTCAAAAGAGACTCATGAAAAGTGACAATTAATTGATTTAACTTTACAGGTGACTTTCTTCTCTAGAAGCAATTCTAATTCCTCTTGCTTGAGAATATATTAAAAAATACTTCCCTATATTTCAAAATATAATGAAGATGCTTTTTGAGCCAGGGAATTTTTTTTTTTGGAATAAAATTTCAAAGTATAGCATGGAAGCTTTCCTATTTAAAAAAACTTAACTTTTTTGGAAAGCAGAGGATTGCATTTACATTGGCAGGTCAAAATATCCTTGGAAATTCAGTAAAGATGAAAGAGGTCCTGTAATGTTTCTTGAAGTAGAGTGTAATGGTAAGCAAGAGCAGGGGTACCTCCCATCAAAAAATGCAACAGTGGTACTGCACATGATAGAGGTGGTATCTTCTTACCTTTCTGTTATTCTTCAGCAAGTTTTGTATTGAGATATGCAGTTTAGTCACATATAGTTCTACTGAATTTCCTTTCTTTTAGGCTAAGTCTTCATGTGTAGATTTTCTGTGGTATCATTAATAAGTCAACATTGAAAAATCAAAAATTTTAATTAAGATCATAACATCTGTTGCAACTTTAAAATTATATGGAAATTAATATATTAACTTGGCACTTAGCATCCTTAGCATTCCATAATATGAAACTGGAAAGTCCTTGCTTTGAAAATGAAAGCAAGCTGGATGTTAAGATGACTTTTAAAATTTCATTTGGGAGAAATGAAAAAGAATATGATAATCTCTCTCTTCATGGGCACTGTGGAAGTGGACATCATAAAATAGTGAGTGGAAATAGCTGGTACTGTATGAAATTGTGTCTCTTAGTACCCATTTAATACTTTCTTGTAATAAGCATGATGTTTTCATATCAGTGGACATGTAGAAGAGATGAAGAAACACTTGAAAGATTTTGTATTAATTTAACTCAAGCTCCAGATAGAGTTGCACTTTCAATTACTCATAAAGTTCTTGCCAAAATCAGAATTTTCTGCTTAAAAAGATAAAATTTTGTTACAGTTTAAGTGCAAGACATTGGGTAAATATAAGATGATAATTGGTTTGATTTTGCTGTTTTCTTTGCAAGTCCTTGAAATATTCCTTCCAGACAAAGGATCGTTTGTGTTTTGTGATGGAGTATGTTAACGGAGGAGAGGTAAGTTTAAGAAATGTTCTGCACTTGTAACAGTAAGGCTGTCCTTGGATTACACCTTTAAGGTTGTATTTTTTCCTTGCCTTTTTGCTTTCTAGTATCATTAAAGGGCTTTTATAAAAGAATTGAACTGTTTTATTTAAAAAAAAAAAAAAGTTGACATATTCTTATAACTTTTCTGTCAAAACTATTTCCTCTTCTGAAAAAATTCAACTTCTGTATAGTGAGAGGTAATTTAATCCTAGAGAACTAATTACATATACTTGCTTATTGTTCTTTTTATTTAGGCATACTATAGCATTTTCTGGCATGAAGCAGTCATAATCCAGTGTAAACAAGCAAAAATAATATTGATGAGTGTTACTTTTGTCCTAATACGAAATCTGTGCTCTCTTTGCTGTAACTATTGCAAGTATCTATTGGAAATGAGTGGAGCATTCATGTTTTTCATTGCTTGTCTCCACTTCATTTGCTGAGTACTCTGGAAATTTCAGCTGAAGTACTGAACTTCTTAGAGTGTTGTTAGCTTTGAAGCCCTTGCTGTCCTCCAGCTGCTTACTAAAGAAGGAGTATGAAAAATGATATGCAGCAAATGGAATTAGAGAACTGCAGTCGAGGAAGAGGGCTTTTATCTACCTTTTAGATGCTGTTTGCTATTCAGGCTGTGTCTCGTTACAACATCAACTGAGGGATTTCCCTTATTTTGTCAACTATATGCTTCATAATAGTGTTAAAGGACTAAGTGTTTCCAGTAAGAGTTTTTTTTTAATTAAAAGACTCTCTCTTCTTTCAGAATTTGCTGTGGCATGATACGTAATGCTTTGCATTATGTTTTAGCTGCCTTCTCCTGCAATAAAACTGCTTAGCTTTAATCCCAGTGCCTGCAGCCCATTGGATCCCAGCGTGTCCTTGGCCATCCTCTACCAGCCATGCCTAAATATGGTGCTATAGGGTTCTCATATGTATAAACCCAAATGTATAAACCCAATTTGCACATCACAGGTGTTGAACCAGATCCAAAAATCTCCCTTGGCAGTAAAGGGATAACAGCCTTCTCTTGGACACTCAGCTGGCTTATCTGACATTGAATTTACATCACCAATATTAACTCAGTGCTGTCTGCAATAAATTTTAAGTATTGTCTTATAAACTAGCTAATTCTTCATGGTTTTCCTCTGTGTAAGATCTTACTGCATTTCTGTAATCTTTGGGGAGAGTGTTTGGAAGTTGAATTTAGCTATTTGTGTTTTTTCCATCCTGTTTGAATGCAGAGCAGAGCCCACAAAGGACGTTTTCAACTCCTTTCTTATGACTGAGGATGCTCTGGCTGTATTTTGGTCAATTGTAGTTTGGTCAATGCATTTCTCTGCATTGGGTGGTGCAACTTTGTGGCTACTACTGCAAGTGTTGTGTGTCATGGGTTTGTGGGTGGCAGCCTGCCTTTGCTTTGGGGATTGCAATTGCAATGTACTCGTGCCAGCACTGGGTTACTTTCTTCCAGGTATTGTGCTGCTGGTTGTCAGTGTTGCTCATGTGCTTTGCTGATGGTTCTCTGAGTCAATGAAGCTAACTCTGAAGTTTTGCCACAGTAGGAAAAAATGGCCTTTTGGGAGTAGGCATTATTCTTTGAGGAAACTCTCTTGATTTGCCCACGTGCTTCTCTTTGACTAGAGATCTGGAGTAGTAAGTTGGACAAACTGATTTTTTCAATAGGAAAGTCTTTAATCTTACCAAATTTTCTTGTGAATTTCAGACTTCAGTCAGTGTCTTCCAAAAAATACAGAGGATTTCATATTTGTAAAAACAGCCTTATTATTAACTCAGCATAAGCTGCTCAAAGGTTAGCCAGCATTTTAGTTTATATGATACACACACTTTTTTCTTTTGCTTCTTCTATCTACTATTCTGTTTGTTTTTCAAGAAATTACATTTCCCTATATATTCTGATTGTTCAAGGTGTTGAAAATTCATCTTTTAATTATTTCCTTTCACTGGGAAATTGACTGTAGATGTACTGTGTTGCTTTTGATTCTCTCCAGTGCTGTACTACCATCAATGTGTTTCTGTTTAAAATTCCTTTAGATTACATATTTCTTTTTAGGTAAACTGTTGTGCCTGAATCAATTTGTTGGGAATTTTCATGGTTTGTGTCTTTCAGGAGCACAATTTTCCAGGCAGTTCTCCTCATGAAGGAGTTCTTGGAAGTTTGTATAAATATTTTTGTCTCCTACACAGGTGAAAACAAGAAAGTGCCACCATTGAGGCTTCTGCCCTAGCACAGTAATAAAAACTGTGGTCAGCAGTAGGAGTCTTTGCTTCCTCTTCCTATAGCTAGAAAAAAAACAGTCAAGGAAGGGGGCACAGAGCTTCATACTGGAGGAGAAATGTGTTAAATGACTGTAAGCTAGAATCCTTTATATCTATTAAAAATCTAGTTCCACAGTGAAGTTAATATTCCTCTACAGTGTAACAATTTATCTTTGCCTTACCTTGCCTATGTAACTTCAAGTTGGTTGGGTTTAGTTAATAAGAGAGCATGTTACAATGAAAATGCATCTGCATCAGTTTTGCTGGTCTATATGTGTGCTCTTTTACAGTGTGCAAAGCATTACAGTAAAATCCTTTGGGTTCCATTAAGAAAACCCCAGCATATTTGTAGTTTAATATACTAAAGAAAACCATTAGAGGAATTTTTTTTTCCCAAACAGATTATTCAGATGGAGATATTGAATATGTTTTCCTTATACTGAGAATGTTTTTCCTGCTGCTGAATGCACAATCTTGAAATAATTGCCAAACAAAATCTTGTGGACCAAACCTTAATTTTGTCTTCATTTGGTTTTGCTTTTAGACTCCATGGGTGAAATGTTTACCAATGTCTATTGATCACAGCCTATGTTGCAGTGTATAGCTAGAGGGATTACTTTTCAATACCTTTGTTGTACTGAAGGAATTATGTTAAAGTAGCATTAAGAAATTGAAATTAGATTTCAAGAAAACAAATATTCATCTGGCTTAGCTGAGTTGACCAAATAGCTCTTTATTTTTGGGGAATGCTTTTGGAGTGTATGTTTCCCAGTTTTTATTTCCAGTATTTTGCTTTGAAGGTTGAAAATATTTTAGAAATTAAATCTATTACATACATTACTCTGCAGAGTACCCTGATTCAGCTGCCTAATAAGTTGATTAACTTCCTCACTCTGCATTTAAGGATAATTCCAGATTTCGTACTTTGTAACAAATTTAATTGGTAATTATGTGTATAATAAAATTAGACCCTAAAATTTGTTCAGATGCTTCTCTACATAAGAATTCTGAATCTCTGTTCCTCTTGGCATTTTTGTTGCACAGCTCTTACTTCAATTCATTAGGCAGGAGAGAACTAAATGGCTTGTTGTAATTGAACAAGTGCTATTACTGTCTGGAAAAAAAAAAAAAAGAAAGGAAAAAGACAGAGGATTTACAACCTACTTAACAAAAAATAAGTAAACAAGAGAATGTTCCTTAGCCCTAAATTATGATAGTCCATGGTAAGGGTGCTATATTTCCTTGGGTATAGAATGTTCCAAGAAGCAGTACAAAGTCTGGAACAATAAATAAATAATTTGAAATTTCAAGGTTGCTACTGCAAGTGCATTGCAAAATCAACACTCAAATATAAAATGCAGCTCTGAACAAACCCAGTACACAACAGCAAGAGCCAGACATTCAACTTACAACATACTAAATAGGTCACTAGTGTGTGTACAACTTTAACATATCAATTGATACAAGGTTGTGTCTTTTATATATTTGGATCTGCAGCTGAATGTACTTCTATGCTTGATATTTGTTTAAATTTTTCCATTAAGTTTTTTATTAGGAAAAACCCCATGACAGCATTGTTGTTCAGTTTTTAAAGGCATAGCAAGAAATTTGGAGCTCCAATCCTCACTGTAACAATAGCACCCTTGTGTATGCCATCAAAATGTTATGTGCAAAATGGCTTTCTTTGTGCCAAAGCTATTTCTATTGCAATTCCAGTGATTTTACAGCACATATTTAATAACTGTAAGTCAATAAATAGTGAAAATATTGGAAACCTTTTTTTAACTTTCCATCACATTTATTCTTTTTCTTCTTTGACTTAATACATTTAATCTTCCTGTTCTGACAATTGTAAATAGAATACAGTGGCAGAATTATTCCGAAATAGTGAACCAGCTAATTAATTAGCTGAAAATTATGCTGTAATCCCCCTGTAATCTCTCTGCTTTTCCTATTATAATTTTAGAATCTGCTTAATATCTTTAGCGTATATCTGAGTGCATGAATGTGCTTTTAATGTGCATTTTTTATATCTAAATGTACGTTCTTCATTCAAAACTAGCAAGTATGGTTTGGTGACAGCTCTGTTAGGTGCTATAATAATGTGAGGAACAGTGACTGTGGTGTCACATATACATTAAAATAAGCTGACTCAGAAGCTCACAGTTTCTTTGACAAACACAACTGCTGTTAGTTGTTTCTAGCTGGTCATTTTACTTTGAAGTTGGTGTTTTTAATGAATATCAATGCTCTTGTTGGAAATAAACACTGAAGAAAGTAAAATTTTTTGTATGTTAATTGTCAGGCTGGCAACTTTTAGATTCAGATTTGGGACACTTTAAATGGAAACTAAAACAAAAATGTTGGTGACAAGTATCCTGAAGTTTTAGAATTTTCTAAGGCTGCTGTTCAGCTACTGGATTAGTCTCTTTCAAACAGAAAATTCCAAGAGTCGTTTGGAATAGATATGAAATGTAGGACTAAAATTAAAATTAAAATTTTAATTTAAAATTACTAAAATTTGTAATTTGGGAGTTACAAATTTTCAGAGTGTGTTGATATGTATTTTTAGTTACTTTTAATCCAGCAAAACAAAAAAACACTTCTAAAAATTATTAGCACTAGCTTATTATTTATGAGAGACCACGAAACAGACATAAAGGCATAAATTGCGTAAATTTTGTATTTTGCTTTATGTGAATGAAATTCACCTTAGCAGTATTTGTTTTCTGTTTAAATACTAAGTAATAGTGTGAAAAGGACCACACAAACTGGGAGATGTACTTGTTATTTTCCCAGTTTGGTGATGCATGAGGCCTTTCATGAAGTCAGATGTGGTTGCTTGGTGTGGGTGGAGGGAAAGTCACTGCAGAGAGGCTCCTGTCCCACCAGGGACTGCTGCCTAAACAGGTGAGCAACAGCAGCAGAATAAAGATCCTCCTTGTCATGCAGGTTTGCCTTTTTTGTACAGGGTGTCTTGAGCACTGGAAAAGAAGTTGAATGGGGAAACCAGATACAACAAATAAAATTTTAAATATTTTCTTTAAATCATAGTGCAGTTTCTGTATCCTGTGAAGTCTCTGCTTATACATATGTATGCTGCCAAAAGGTTCAGTTTACTGGGAATGTTGTTTAGGCTAAGACAAAAATGATACACTTATTATGAATTACAATTATCAGGAAAGAAGTTGACTTCTAGTTCATAGCAGTGACTTTTTAATTATGTTTTAAAAAGTCACAGAATTACCAAGATTTGAAGAGATCTGGAAGATTATTTAGTCCAACCATCAATGAAGCACCACCATAATCACCCCTAAACCCTGTCCCCAAGTGCCACATCCAGAAGCCCACCCACTGAAAATTGCTGCAGTAATTCCTGCACTGTTCTGTGCCATGTGGATAGTGTAGATTTTCTAAAGGCATAAAGTAGGATGTGATAAAAACAGATTAAGCACATCATTGGCTTTTTTTTTTTACTGGTTTGCTTTTGGGTAATTTTTAACCTACCTTGTCATTTCACAGTTCTGATATACTTGATACTTCCAACAGTGAAAAAAACCCACCCAAGCCTGTATGCATAGCTGTTGTGGATTTCACTGTCTAAGTTTAATTTATAAATGATAACATTTTTTATTTCTGTTTTGTTGATTGTTAGCTCCTGTGGTGAAGCCGAAAACATTGTAACATGGCCAGTCTGGTCTTAAGGAGAATACAGAAATATGCTCACTAATCTTTGCTTGAGGAATTACCCAAACTTGCTTTCAACAGTAATTAAAACTCACTACTTCAGAAAACATTTGAATTGAACAGCTAAAATGTGCTTTTTTAGATGTTGTTCCAGGTTCTGAGGGTGATGTTTTATCCATTAAGATACTGACAACCTTACAGAGATTTATCTTACACTTTTTCATTGCAGCTGAAATTACTGGCAATACATAATGACTATTATTTTTTGCTGAAAGACTTTAAAGTGCCTGCAAAGTGCTGTTACTTCAAAAGTATTAAAGAAGAGACAAAACACCCGAACCAATGTTTACATTGTAGCCAAGAAATACACTACATACATGGATTTGTTTTTATAAGCCCTCAGCATTGTTGATTTGCTTTTTCTAGTGACTACTACTTCTAGCATGTGAATATATGGTTTGTGAAATGCCAGTTCCCTGCTCAGTCCAAGTCTATTGAAGAACCAGACCTTTTTCAGTTCAAAGAAAAGTTACTAAAGCACTGAAAAACATGAGGCAGAACCAAAATCTGTACATTTTAATGATATTTCTCAGTGGCTTAAAGCAAAAATCTGAGGAAGTAGCAAAGGGAGAAGTACAGAACGATGCTGTTGCATACTTTTTCTTTTTTTTTTTCCTCTGGTAACTGAAGGTTAAATGAGTAGCAAGCAGAATGCCTTAAACAAGATTGGTATATTGATTAAAACGCTGATTTAACAGCTCGCTTTCTCCCTTTGGAAACCTGGAAAAGATAAGCCAGCTGCTGTCTAAGAGTGCTGAGTGTCCACTGAGAGTACACTATCTATCATCACAATATGGTGATGAGAGGTGTTTTATGTTTGTGTTAATTTCCCCCACTAAATCAGTAATTATTACAATCCTGTCCCTGCTGTTTACCCTGCAGCTGTTTTTCCATTTGTCGAGAGAGCGGGTGTTCTCAGAGGACCGCACGCGCTTCTATGGCGCAGAAATTGTCTCTGCCCTGGACTATCTGCATTCCGGGAAGATTGTGTACCGCGATCTCAAGGTAAAAAAAAGAAAGGAAAAAAAGTAATCAAATTTTTGTTTTTGCAGAGGCTATGGGGACAAACACAAAGTAATTATAAAGTTGCACTATTCAGAGTTAATGGGGAAAAAAAATATCTGTGTTCAGATTTAAGTTCTGTGTGTGCTGGAGGAAGTTGTTTGATATAGTAATCTCTAGATGGGTGCATTCCCTCACTTTATTTTGATTGTAAAATGAAACAGGGTACTGTAGTAGCAACACTTGAAGGAGATTTAAACTTCTGATCCTCATCCTCCCTACCCCCTGCCCTGTTACTCATAACTTAACTTAGATTTCAGCACAAATCTCAAATACAATTCTCAATGTCCTGAAACAAGAGAAGTGGTCAATTGGGACAATGTGGCTTCATTCTTTTTATCTCAGCAACCAGGTGTTTCTGTATGTATTGGAAACATTTAAAAATATTCAGAATACTTCAACAGAAAAAGAATTTATTTCAGCATTGATTTTAAAATTATTTTGTCTCTTGTATCTCATTCTTTTGTATTCCTGTTATTGGAATGTAATTTGTTTTAGATTTGCCGGCATATACAGTTGCTCCAGGTACTCTGTTATGCACTATGACCATATTATATGGAAAAATAACCTCTGCTTTCAAGAGGAACATTTTCTAACTTGTCTAAGAGGAACCTCTAAGTTCCATGATGAGACAATTTTATTTCTGTGTCAAGCCTTTAATTTCATATACAGGAAATTGTGCTTTCCTGTTGTATATGCACAGTAGTGGAATTCATTTATGCAATCCTTTGTACAGAAACCCAGGAGAAGGACACAATGGTAGGCAAGTTCTGCTCAGGGAGGCAAACAAAAAAAAAAATACTGGGCTACCTGTTTGTAGCAGCATCTGTTGTAATAATGTGAAATGCTGTGAAATCCTGGGAAAATACGGAATTGTCTGGTCAAGGAATGATAGGTGATAGTTTTTAATTTAAATTCTAAATAATAAAGAAAGAGGAGTTTGACATCATTGTTCTTCTATTTTTCTTGTTGTCTACTTTGCATTTTCTTTGTAACACAGTTAGACTCAACAGGAAATCTATACTTTTGATAATATTTCAGGCTTTATGCAGACTTAGAATGACAGGGCTATGATTGTTCTATATTAGCATTTTCACTACATGCCATATAATTAGTAAAAAACCAAACCATTTTCTGTTGAGAAAAATTGTTCAGAATGTTTTCTTTGGTTTCAGTTCTACCTGTATTTTAAGTACAGCTAATTGAAGCCTTTTTGGAAAGTGATAGTAGCCATTATTCTGATGCTTTCACCTTTCAAAGCAAGGATCATTTATTTAGAAAGCAATGCAAAGCTTAGGGAGGTATAAATTCAAGAAGTGTCCTTTGCAAGTAGACAAGGAGGAATTTACCTCAGGAGTGTTTTTGTCAGTAGCTGCTCTATCCCAAATTCTGTCTATTTTTGAAAAGGAAGTTGGAGGTATTTTAAGGATTTATCGATACAGTCTGTTTCATAACAGTATAGAAAGTAAAAGGTGTTTTGATCAGTGGCTGTCATGTTAGACCAAAGGAAACCTCTGAAGTAATTGACCTGGGATTTACTATTGTAAACTGTATTTAAGTATTAAATAATTGTCTAACTCCTGTGGCAGTAAACACTGTTACATGCTGTAATATGGTAGATGCTGTATTTTTTTAAATGACAAAATAATTACATTCTTTTGCAAGGAATAACTCTTTTTTTTACAAAATTGATGTAATGCATCGATCTGTTTTGTTAAGAAATACTAAGGGAATATTCTTCTCCCCAACACACAGTTAGAAAATCTAATGTTGGATAAAGATGGACACATAAAAATTACAGATTTTGGACTTTGCAAAGAAGGAATCACAGATGCAGCAACTATGAAAACATTCTGTGGTACTCCAGAATACCTGGCACCTGAGGTATGATTTGGAATATTTTCTTATAATACTGTATAAAATGTTTCTTTTCCATTTAATTTTAGACTGACAGTCTGCCTGATTAATACTCTGTAGCTTTTATTCAGAATGGAATGTGCTGCTATTCTTTGTGGTGGTTGTATATATATTGGTGCTCAGCTTCTTAGTGTTTAAAAAGGCCTCTAACGTGCATTTTCCTTCTTATGTTTCCTTTTCTCTGTTAAAGTTTTTATCTTCCAATGATTTCTTCAAAAATAATCTTCCATCTGTCTGTCACTTGGAACATATGATCCTGCTTAACTGAGCTGTGTAACTAGCATTTATATAGCCTCAGTGGAGGCGAGGGGGAATAGGAAGGTACTGAGTTGAGTTTGGGAAGGTACTGAGATGTGTTTTTATCTGAATTCCCCAGTAGCAGGGAGAGGGAGTTGAAATTTTAGATATTTCTGCTAAAAGCAGTTGAGTGTATCAACCCCAGAATTGGTGAGGTGGTCACCAAAACTGTCTGTTTCCTAGGATGTGAGCAGAGTGGCATCCCAGAGTTTGCCTCCCCATCTTTCCCATTAGCTGGCACTCAGAGTGCCAAGCATCGCACTCCTTAGGGATTGATAAAAAAGATGGACATGAAGACATTGCTTTGGTTCCCCTTGCAGGAACTTTGGCTGGAGCTTTGGTTTGGCCACTTGAGAGTCTGTTGTGGAAGCTCAAGTCATCCAAATGATCTGCTCCAGTATTATTAGTGCTGCCAGCTCTGCCACTGGTGCCTGCTGAAAGAAGGCAAGGAGAGCATCACCAAGATTGTGATTTGGCCCTGCCTGGCTTCAGTCAACACTTCTGATTGTGCTGCTCAGAAATGTCACTCTGCCTCTCTTAGGGGCTGCCAAATACAGCTCCAGTACCGATATGAAAGACAGCCTAATTTTTACTTAAAGCTAAGGGTTCTGTGGATGCTGAATTAGCCCTTATTTCCACTCTTGTCAGCATTCAAGATTTCTAACTGACATAGTGCACACCTCATACTGAGATAACTTTCTAGTCAAGGGAAAAGATATTAAAAGGTCCTTCAGTTCTACCATTTCATTGAAGAAAGTTTAAAGAGTTTTCAGGGGCATTTCCCGCCTCTTGCAGCAACTCTGCACTACAATAAAAGTGTTGTTACTACATATTGCCTTTGAAGAACAACCTGCCTTAGTTTGAAGGGAGGAGGCTCTGATTAGAAATAGGTCTTTATTCTCTTATTTTCAGCAGCACTGAATCCTGAGTAGCAGCCGCAAGCCCTGGAGCCTGTTTCAACAAGCAATTTTGATTGTAGTTAGTTTTTTATTCTAAACCCTGAAATTCAGGAATGGCAAACAAACAGGTACACATCACCTTCTGGATAGTGCTGGTTGGAAATTAAGATTTTAGGATGGCTAGGTACATAGGTTTGAGTCTTTCTGAATCTCTTAAAGTCCCTTTCAGTTTGCAGTCACAGAGGAAACTAAAACTGCTAATACTTGGCTGTAAGTCAATATGATAGGTAGAGTTACTGAATCCATTTGGGATGACTGCAAGATATTGTGATACATTCTTTCTCCAACAGTAAAGGAAACATCAGTATTTTTAGGAGCCACTAACTTTCTCTTCATACATCTGGTACTGTCATCCTTGACTCATTTGAAAATGTGTTAGCTCTCTTTCATCAATCTTGGTTTTAGACACTTGGCGCAAGTTACTTGGTCCAGTTTGCTTTTCTGTTCTCTAGAAGCCCCACTTCTCTGCTCTGCCTCCCATTATGAGTGTTTTTGGAGACCTTCCTGTAAAAATCTGTCTTGAAGGAAATTGATTCTTCATTAACCTTGGGAAAAGGGAGCTCATTCCCTTTTCCCTGAGAGATAAAGGGTTTTGAGCAAGCAACTTAGACAGGTTACTGATAAGACATGAGAAGACTCAACACCTTTAGGAGGATAGCTGCTCACATGAGACATTTGTATCTATTTTTGCCAGGTCAGCTGACTGATAAAGGGACCCTCAGGAGCCTGGGTCCTCCAGTCTGTTCGTAAGCTTGCTTCAGAGAACCAATGCTCAAAAATCACTTCTCTTTGCAGTTCAGGCCACAGAAATAATTTTCAGGTGCCAAAGATTTACTACCTTGTGGCAAACTTCAGAGCATGAGAGCCTGATGTTACAACTGGACTTTAATCTTGTTACCACGCTGAATTCCTGCCTGTCTATCCCAACACCAATTTTCTATGGTCTAAAGAAAATTAAAATAGCATTGACTGTGTTCATCTTGCATCACTTTGTGCTGAGCATAAAATACAGTAGGGATATGAACACAACCTCCAGGAAGAAAATACTTGCCACTGCCAAATAGCAGGGCTTATATTTGTTAACAGTACAGATGTACATTTGTCACACTTATTGAAGAATGAGCAAGTAACTTTTTGTTTGTGAAATTTTATAGTTTTTTGAGAATAATTTGGTTTTCTAAGAGTGAAATTACCCTTATCATCTGCTGTAGAACTAACACAAGCCTAATTTTTTTTGTGCGTGCTTAAGTGTGGTGGTAATAATTAATAATTTCCTTGGCTGTAAGAATCTATGGCATTCCCCATTTGAAAGGTATAAAATATGTTACAATTTCTCAGTTAGCAGTTTTTCAGGACAAAGAGACTATTTCTTAAAAGTCTGTTTACATTGTTGTTCTTCAAAGTAAGCTGTCACATTAGGGATCATTGTGATGTCAGGAAATATTCGTAGATCCAATGAGAAAAAGATTAATTGTGTTCCCATTTAGGTAATGCAGATGTATGCTTGATATTTTTTCCAAAAGATGCTTCTTTTGCAGTTTTGGAGTGGCAAAGGCAGGACAGGACCACATAAATTTAACAGGCAGTATAGCTTGCTTAAAAAAGAAAGAATAAAACTGAGGAAAGTACTTGTAAATATACCTCTGAGTCTTTTAAAAGCAGTTTGGATGTTGATAGTTTTCATTGACTGTCAAGGATGAGACCTGCTGATAAAGATACAGACTGGTACAGACTCCTTTTAATAGAACATTCAGGAAATGAAGCTACTTGGGCAGAGAAGTAAAATTTCTTTGGGGTCTGATCATTTATAAGGATGTTTCCTTGGATGAGGTAACAATTTCTGGATCTGTATTTCAGTTTAAGCTCCTAGGACTAAGTGCACAGTCTTTGTTATAGGAGTTATAGGAGAGCAGTCAAATGTGGTACTAAGTTTTGGTGTCATGGGAGAGACAAGCTTTAAATCCCAGAAATTACTTTTTAAGTTTTAAGTCTTTCTAATAACAGAAGAGAAGTTGGTTTGACTCTGTAAGGGTCAAACCCTGTTTGACCCTTACAGAGATAAGAGGCTTCATGGATGTCATTCAAATGACTCTTAAAAGGTGTAGATGACCAATGATGTGTAAGTTTATTCTAATAACAGGGAAAATTATGTATTATTGGCATAAAAATACAGATTAGGTGGATGAATATGTATAAAAATGATTCATATATACCGGTTAGATGGATGCATTCCGAAAGAACAGTTGCATATTATTTAAAAAAAGCAAACTATTTCTGTATAGTTTGTGCAGTTACAGTCACTCAAGGGTATGTGACAAAGAGCAAGAAAGGAGCAGATTCATTGCCTTTACCCCTAGACAGAAGATGTGCATGTCCTGTAACTAAAATAAGACCAGTGATGATCAAGGAAATACTAAGATCAATTATACAATGCTTATTTGGCCCGTATTTTTTAGTGATTGTTCTTCTAAAAATGGGAGTGAGAGAGAGATCATGTGTAATCAGTTATTGCCCTGAGTTTTATCTCAGAGGAGTGAAGGATAGAACTGTTATCAAGAGGCAGCTGCTGTCTCTCCACACACTGCACCTAATTTCTTTCTTACTTACTTACATCCTCTTAGGAAGTATGTGGCTTTGATGTAATCTAGAACCTGGCCATCAAAGTTTAGTGACTGAATTTCACCAAGGGAAAGCAGGCATGCTTGTAACAAGAAAACCTGAACTTTTTCCATGTTTTCAGGAATTGAAGTGAATTTTCTAAGAGTGTTGTGGTATATACAGATTATGAGAAGCTGACAATAGAGTCAGAAAAAGCATTTTGTCAGTTGTACAGCTAAACATTTATTTTTGTTCTTTTTAACACTTGCTTGGATTGAATCAGGATATTTGCCAAAGGCAGTCTGATAATATTTTGGAGTGAGACTATGATGATCTACCACATAACTTGTCTGATATGAGATGAAACTAAGTGCTGTGTATGGGCAGAGAGGGAACTACTGAAATGTGCTGAGACAGGCTGACAACAGCGATGGATGTGTCGGGTTTTGCAGGCATCATGACAAAGCATTGTTCTCAACAGGGATTTTAATGCAGATAGAAGTTGCAATGCCAGTGTTAAAGAAGAGCTCCTTAAAGTGCTGGGAGAAGCAGGAAGGCCCTTGTTTGCAAACAGCTCGATAAAAGCAGTCAACACTCTGGGTAAACTGAGGCAGGCCAGTTGAGAGAGATCAGCTAAGGTGAGGATGTTAAAACTTCAGCTCACTCTACTGCAGAGAAAATTAATTTGCATGGGTAGTACAGCTGAAGCCTCTTTCCCCTCTTTCCCCTCTTTCCCCTCTTTCCCCTCTTTCCCCTCTTTCCCCTCTTTCCCCTCTTTCCCTTTTTTCCCTTTTTCTTCCTCTTTCCCCTTTTTCCCTTTTCTCATGCAGTAGAGAAAAAAATTGAGTATATTGAAGGAGGATAGTAAGAGAAGCTAATAGGAGGGAAAGAAAATGAATTAAATGAATGTAATAATGTCAGAGGTAGATTGATAGATCAGAAAACACCGATTAGAGGTTAGAATATTTTTCTTATGGGGAAAAATGTGATTTTGGGCAGGAAAGAGTTTGGACTAAAGATGATTATGTTACTTTGTTTATCTTTTCTAAGTAGGAACTGATAAGGGAGACATAAATGGCAGGAGAAATTAATGAGCAACTTGAAACTGAAGAG